CCCCGCCCGGGCCAGCGCGGACTCCGGGTCCCCGCAGAATCCCACCTGCCCGCAAGACCCCTCTCCAGGCGCCCCACGCATTGCGGGGGGAGGAGGGGCGGGTGCACGGCCCTAAATTCCCACAATCCCTCAAACACACTCCTCCACCTTGCTTTTAGCCACCCCTCCCTTCCCCTCAGGAGCACTGGAAGAGACCCCCCTCCGCACATACAAGCCTCTCCAGCTTGGACACGACATCACAGACCCCTGGAAGCAATTGCCATCAACACCCCAAGTCTCAGTTCAGCTGATGCCCTTCAAAGGCCAGGCTTCTGAAGCTGGGCACCACCCAACATTTGACCTTGGCACATTATCTACCCATCTGTAGCCAGAGGCAGCTGAAACAGGGGCATTCCAATTGTGCCAACCACTCTAAATTTCTGTGTCTAAGCTTCCACGCCCCCGCCCCCACTTCCACAGCCGCTGAGGACCTATCTTACTTTCTACGGTCAGAGAGATCTTTGGAAGGAACACCTGGACCCCTGTGTGTTCTTCTCTGGGTCCCTCTGAAACTGGACCCCCAGCACAACCCATGCCCATAAAAGCCTTGGATAACAGTCAGCTTAAGCCATGCCCCTATACCTTAGAACGAATAAAAGGATAAGAACAGGGATAAACCGGAGGGTCAGTAGAAGGTGGGATGGGCAGGCTCCAGCGAGAGAAGTGGAAAGGAGGGAAGAGAAGAGAGGAGCATGTGCTTTACCCCTCCACACCCTGCCCTGCAGGATTTCAGCCCCCACCCCGGGAAAGTGCTATACATCTAGAGCCCTTGTGGGGTGCTGAGGAAAAATTGTTGTTTCTGGCTTCCCACTTTGTGCTCAGAACCCTGTGCTCAGAAGCGCCCCACCCCCACCCCAATCAAGGATTGCCCCTGTTTCTCTCCTATTGTTGAGATAAAATATCCAGCAAAAGCTACTTAAAGGAGAAAGGGTTTATCTAGCTTACTGTTAAGAATACAGTCCTTGAAGCCGCTGGTTATGTCACATCTGCAATGGGGAAACAGAGATGAATGGTTCCCCTTTT